AGAGAGAGAGAGAGAGAGAGAGAGAGAGAGAGAGAGAGAGAGAGATTGTGTGTGTTTATAAAGACAAAAGAATTTTAAGAAATCACCTCATTACTGTGGATGCTTGCCAGTTCTTAAAATAGCCGAGTGAACTAACAAGTTGGAAACTCTGGGAACAGTGGTACTTAAGTCCTGAACAGTCTACTTCCTATTCTATTAAGACCCTTCCCTGGTTGCACAAGGTGCACCACATGGAGGAAAGTATGCCTTGCTCCATGTCCGCTCCTTTAAACACAACTTTATCCAAGAGCTACTGCCACAGAACCATCTAGATCAATGCTCAACCAAATATCTGGGCACTGTGGCTCAGCCAAGTTGACATAGTAAACAATCATATGTTGGAGTTTGGAGTGAAGACATTGACTTTGAAGTTACTTTTTCCCTTAGCATTTGTTATAATTGGATGTAAAGTGTCCTCCACGGCCTCTTGAACATTTGGTCCCCAGCTGCTGGTTTTGTTTTGAGAGGTTGTAGGTCCTTGAAGGGGTGAGGCCCTGAAGGAATACGTCATTGTGGCGTAGCCCAGCCTGGTTTCCTGTCTGTCTGTTTCCTGACCTATGGGATGTGACCAGGCTTCTGCTGCATGCTGTCCCTGCCATGGCAGAGGGTAGCCCTTTAAGATTAGTCCTTTCTCCCTGGAGAGGCTTCTGGTCAACTGTTGGGTCACATTGATGGGAACAGTAATAATGCCTACTCCCCAGGCTGCTGAGAGCAAGTCCCCTGACTCGGCTTACACTGTCGTCTCTCTGCAGCTGTCTGATGATGGTCGCTACGTCCTGCTGTCCATCTGGGAGGGATGTGATCCGGTAAACCGACTGTGGTACTGTGACCTCCAGAAGGAATCCAGCGGTATCACTGGTAAGTTATTTAAGTCTTACGTAACTACCCTAGGATACCCAGTTAAAAAGGTGGTGTGTCAGCCTTGCAGTGGACTCTCAGTCAGCCATCTTTCTTCCTACCACACCATCTCAGTTCATAGAAATGGTTGTGCTCTTGCATGTGATAGAAACAAGGAGATGAGGCTGGCTGCTTGCATTTTCCCTGCAGATCAAGGTCAAGCATGTCTTCTGCACCTGCTTGTGAAGAGGTCCTGTTTGGTAGGGAGAAGCTGGGGTATTGGCCTGTAGCGGTTTATAGTCATAAGAGTTGTTAGGATGTAAACTGTCCCAGGCATGTGGTTAGCACAAAGGTGGGTGTTTACCAGATTAACAGGTAATCGTACGATGGCCCCTCCTGAATCGTGCACGCAGTGACAGCCAGCGTTTGCTTTCTGAAGCCACATGTGTCACCGTAGTGAGCACAGAACCAGCCTATTGAGAATTGAGGGCAGTCAGTGGGCGGATGGTGCACACCCTTAACTCCAGCACTGGGGAGGCAGAGGCAGGCGAATCTGGGCATCTGAGGCCAGCAGGGGCTCATGATGATTTGAAAGGTGACCTGCTATACTAAGGTCAGGCATTAAAGCTTTCGGCTCCATAATTGACTGTGTTGGAGTTTGACCAGCCCTGAAAATCTGTCACATAGCTGATTACCAGATGAGGATGCCTAACAAATTAGTGTAAAATAGTGATTATTTCGGAGACCCTTCACATGGGATTCCAAAATACACAATTCTAAATACATTTCTGAATAATTTATTCGCCTCGTTAATAGTATCGAACATTCTGATATGAAGATACTTCCTTTTGGTTGGGTATTACTTCATTTAAACTGCTGAGCAAGGTCTACATGCTGCCTTTCTGGCCATCACCGAACACACATAGCCATGCAGCAGGATGGTCAGTAATTTATTGTAGCAGTGCTATCCATACAGAACTACAGCCACCACATCGGTGTTCACATTCTCTGTAAGGAGCAAGCCACTGGATCTCTGCAGAGCTGAGCAGACCTCTTGAGATGGAGCCCAAATGAAACATGGTTGCTGTCCTTGCCCACAACCGGTGTTTCTTAGGCGGTAGAGAGGATTTGGGCTTCCCCTGGCTTATTAAATCCCCAGTTAACAGTGCTCCTTCTCGAGAGCGCTGTTTGCATTCTGTTTTCAACTTCATCGTGCCTTTAAATTATCAAGTAGGATCATGCTATTAAAGGATACAAGCTAACAAATTGAAAAACACGAATTGCTTAACTTCAGATAGGTAAGGAAGTTCCGTCCATGTTTGTACTGAGCTGCAGTTCCTAGCTGCACGTGAATAACAGGTAGTGGTGTTACGTTTGTGAGGTAGATGCTTCCTGCGTGGCCTGTGGATGTGTGTGGGAGGGAAGCAGAGGTGGGGTGGGGGAGAGCATGACTATGAAGGAGGACGGCTGCAGGGAGTTGGCTTACGTGATTGTGGGAACCATTCAGGCAAGTGCGAGCTCTGTGGGGCCGGTTGTCAGGAAGGTCGGACAGGCTGATGCTGTCGTCCCTAAGTGGACCCTCTTCTCTAGGGAATCCACGTGTCTAACCTTTTGACTTTTCAGTTGTTGAGCAAGGCTCAAGCGTTGTCAAGAACAGTACCCTGTCCTTTACTTGAATAACATCTGCAAAACACCCTGGCAGAAACACCTAAGTTAGTATGTTAGGTTAACTAGAGATGTTGGCTGGCCAGGCCCATAACCGTTGCCACGAGCTCATGGGAATCCACATGGAGAGCATAGAGCAAAAGGCTCGCATGACACTGACCTGAGTTCCCTGACTCCATAAGGTTACTAACCGGGACAGTTTGGAGGTCATTGAAAGCATGTCGTCATCGTCTGTCCTACTCACAGAAGCAAGCTGACTTCTGAGTAACCGTCGGTGTGGGCGGAGCCAAAGCTGTGAGCCGCTGAAGGATGAGCCTTCTGCAGTGACAGCTCTGGGTTCCTGGGTAGTGCAGGGCCTGTCGTCTTTTATTTATTACATTTTTAAAAGATTCATTTGTCCCTATATGTGTATGAGTATTTTGCCTGCGTGCATGTCTGTACCAGTTGAGGATGTTGGGTCCCCGGACCTGGAGTTTTGGACAGTTGTGAACCACCATGTGGGTGCTGGGAATCAACCTGGAGGTCTCTGGTAAAAAGCTGGTGCTCTTTACCGCCGAGCCATCTCACCAGCCTCTTTCTATAGTCACTGCTTCACTGGCCTTACATTGTGGAGGACAGAAGCCACAGTGGTTGGGATTGACCTACTGGGCCACGTACTCAGTTTTATACATAGGTTCAAAAAGTCACTTGCCTGGGACAGTGGTAGAGGCATCTTGTTTGTGATTTTCATACTCATCACTGGTTCAGTGTGAATCAGTGACATGATCACAGCTCTTTGAAGAAGCAATACAGTTGTTCCTTGATGACCGTATGTCATGGATTCCAGGACTCCCGGCAGACACCAGAATCCACCAGTCTGTTCCATAAAATGTCATAGTGTTCTCATGGGACCTCACACACCTGTCTGTGTTTCACTTCGTCTCTGGATGATTAGTGAGAGCCAAGACAGTATGAATGCTGTGTAAGCAGTTGCTGTTCTGCATTGTAGGGTAGTGACCAGTCTAAGGTACAGTGTGGATGCGGTGTCTCTGTAGTGTCTGTTCAGTCTGGCTGGTCGGATCGGGCTGTGACTCCCACAGCAGTTAAGTGCCGTACCATGTGTGCTTAGCTCCTGAAGAGATTAAGTCAGTGAAGTCTAAAAAGGAGACAGCAGATGGAAATGGTGATTGTTAAGTTACTTACATGGTTCACGTTAATTACAGCTGAGTATCTTGATTTGAAGGTGATTTTTCCCTTTCAGGTATCCGTGTCTGGGAATGGAAGAACAACACCTGTTTTACAGGGAATCGTAATAGTGAAAGCAGAGGAAAGGGCTGACCGGGGTTTGGGTTCCTGGCATGCCGAGGCCTCCGCCCTTCCCTCCTGCTTGTCCTTGACAGAAGGGGGTTTTGGAATCCCGACACGTTCGCTTTAGATAACAGAAGAGTAGGTTAAGGACATACTTGGAGGTTTTTTCTGTTTTTAACTCCTAAGCATCAAAGTTACTCTAAATACAGGTTTGGGGCATGAATTTGTTTACTGCAGCACAGATTCCCAGTCAGAAGCGCTCTCTGTGCCTCTGTGGGCAGCTGGTGGGAAGGGTCTCATTGTGCAGGCTGATGAGGGGGCAGAGTGTGTGTCTGATTGGCAGAGTGAATACCTCGCTCCTGCTCCTTATCTGCTCCCCACTTTTGTGACACTGTTAGGAGGAAGGATAGCCACAGAACTTAAATGTCCGGGTTACCTTAAATGGTGGTGAGCTAAAAATTACACGGAATGTTAAAAAAAAAAAAAATCTACCACTGTATTACCGAAACCCGAGTATTCCTTTTGATAACTCTAAAGCCCATTCGCTCCTCAAGAGCAGAAAAAACGATCAACATTTCTCAAGTAAATTCTTTGTTAAACGTTACAAAGTTGTCTTCCTTAAGAAGTGAGTAATTTCACTTCAGTGAGCTGCGTGAGCCTAGACCTCACTGTCTTTCACCCTCTGGGATGTGCGTGCGTGCGCGTGCGCGCGCGTGAACAGTACTTGATGGTCTGCACCAGCTTGTAGCAGATAACTAGTTAACTAGTTAAGGTCCCTTTAGAGACCCTTGTCCAGATACTCTGCTTGTAAGCCTTCCTCCTTCTGTACCAATAATAAAATTCATATTTATGCTGTTTTTTTTTTTTTAACTTTCAAACCCCTTATATTAGGTACACCATAAAAATTGTGCATTAATGCGTATAACCCAGTGGTTTGGAGAAGTCATCATTTTAAAATTATTGATTATAATGACTTTTCTTAGGAAAATGGCAGTATGTCACAGTAGAGGAAAATTAGATTTTAAAAGATGACTGTTAGCAATCATTCCGTTCAGAGGCATCACATTCCATTGTCGTCACTTGAATGCTGTGGTGATTGGGGTATTAAATGCTGCATTTAATGTAATATTTCCTGGGACCAGGTTCAGAGCTACACATGTGGATCCCTCCTTTAGTCTCCAGCCCCTCTCCCCCGAGTACCTCTCTGGACTCAGTCTCCCCAAGGGGGTCACGTTGCTTCCTAGCACCCTTTAAAGACACAGATGTATACAAAGGAAGGAGGTTGCAAGAAGGATAAATAACACTAAGCATATTTTTAAAAACTGAGGAAGCCGTGTTTTTTTATGTTAGCAAAAGTTACTCTGTGTGTGTGTGTGTGTGTGTGTGTGTGTGTGTGTGTGTGTGTGTGTGTGTGTAGCTTAAAAGAAATTACACCCATGGGGTGGTAATGCCAGCCCCTGCCCCAGAGCTATAGACCATCTAGTACACCTCCTAATAACAGCCATGGAAAATCCCCTTTTGAGTGGTTGGTCAGGGAAGTCCAAGAGAGTCCCACAACAGTATGGCTGCTGTTGCCCTTGGCGGCCTCCCAAAACTTGAAGGACTTGACCTGACCCAGAGGCCGCCTCCCTGAGGACAAGCTCTCATAGTCCTGGAAGATGCTCTGCAGGGTGCGGAAGGAGAGAGTAATAAATAGTCCTACCCAGCTGTGACACCTGTGAACCCCAACAGTATGGGAGGATATCCCCGAAGGTGCAGTGGGGGGACTTCCATCTCGGCAGTAGCCAGCCGCCATCTAACTGGGTGTGTGAGTTGGGCCGTTCAGTAGGAAGGAGTTCCTGCCATCTACTGTGAGCGTCGCCAACCGCACATGGCCACTGAGGCCATGGAACGTGGAGGAGAGCCCGCCACTGCCACTTGATCAATCCCATGCAGTGTCTAACCTACGTTCAGAGGCCAGTGTGGCTCTCACACTTCGTTAAAGAAACTTATTTTTGCAGCAGACAGACCAGTCCAGAAAAACCACACTGATCAAAATGCAGAGAGCTGGTAACTGTGGAGTGCCTAGC